GCCAGCTTGCGCTCGTAGTCCGCCTTGACCTGGTTGAACTCCAGCTGGGCCCTCAAGATCTTGCCCTCCTCGTGCTCCAGAGAGGCCTGGGCGGGACAGAGAGAAAGCTGAGCACCACAGAGAAGAACCAGGAGAACATGGAGACACGTGGGGTTGCACCTTGGCTCACCTCAGCCTCCTCCAGAGCAGCCTGAAGCTCCAGCTTCTCGGCGTCCAGCTGCTTCCGGACCTTCTCCAGCTCGTGGATGGTCTTGTGGCTGGCGCCCAGCTGCTCCGTGAGGTCCGAGATCTCCTCTGCACGGGTGAGATCCCATCAGACCACGTGGAAGGTGGTGGAGAACCACAAAGCGGGCAGGGGGAGGACGCAGAACAAGCAGGGGGAGGACCACAGCCTCACCTTGGAGGTTCTTGTTCTCCCTCTTGAAGGTCTCCAGGTGCTCGAGCGACTCCTCGTAGGCGTTCTTCAGCTTGAAGAGCTCGGTGCTGAGGGACCTGGCCTCCTTCTGCGACGCCTCCAGCTCCGTCTGCGACTCCTCGAACTTCTGCTTCCACTCGGCCACGATCTGGGGCCAAGCGAGTGGTCACCCCCACTCCACAGGTCCCCCCTGCTCCTGCCATCCCTCCACAGTGGGTCTCCCACCTTGTCGAAGTTCCTCTGCTTCTTGTCCAGGGCGGCGGCGGCCGCGTTCGACCGCTCCACGTCTGCCATGAGGTCCTCGATCTCGTTCTGCAGCCGGTGCTTGGTCTTCTCCAGGGAGGAGCACTTGGCGTTGACCGCCTCCACCGCCTCCTCGGCCTCCTGCAGCCGCTGGGCCAGCTTCTTCCTGCCCCGGGCACCCCGAGACACCCGGCTCCGGAGACCCATCGGCCACGGGGGCCGACCCAAACCCTCTCTCACCCAGAGGCTGGCCAAGGCTCTGCTCTACATCTCCACGTCCCTCTAGCAGAGGGGTCTCCACTCTCCCCTGTCCCATAGGAACTGCCCCACCACTTGGGATCACCCACACGGTGGCAGGGTCTCCTCTGACCTCCTCAGAGGCCCACCCTCCTGGTCAAAGAGGTTCTCCCCTCCCCAAACCCCATCTAGGTCGCCCTTGGGCAGGACACGGACCTTTTCCTGCAGATACCCCTGAGGATGGCCCGAAAGCTTGGAGGACCTCTCGGTGTCCCCACCCGAGGGACGCGTTTGTCCCAGCCCACGCTCTCCTCCCTGGGGGCAGGTGACTCACTTGGCCTCCTCCAGCTCCTCGGTGCGCTGGATGGCGTCCGTCTCGTACTTGGTCCTCCACTGGGCCACCTCGGAGTTGGCCTTGGAGAGCGTCCGCTGGAGCTCGGCCTTGGCCTCCGTCTCCTCCTCGTACTGCTCCCGCAGCAGGTCGCAGTCGTGCCGGGCCGACTGCAGGGCGTGGGCCAGCGCGTTCTTGGCCTGGGGGGACAGGAGGAGGTGGGACCGTTGGCTCCGTGTCACCTGGAGCCACCTTGAGGTCCTCCAATGGAATAAGTGCTGGTCTTCGTCACCTCAACCCAGCCCAACCTCCTCTAAGCCAACCCAACCTTCCTTAGACCTTTAGAAGAAGGTGAGACCGTTGGGCCTGCATCACCTTGAGCTATCTCGAGCTCCTCCAACTCACCAATGAGGGTGCTTCTCAGCCCAACCTTCTCTAGACCATCCCAACCCAACCTCAACACCACCCAGCTTTAGGCCAGCCCAGTTTGACTTCACCTGGTCCAATCCCACCCAAACCCCGGAGACCAACCCAACTGCCTCTCAGCCAACCTGCTCAGCCCCACCCAACCCAACCCATCCACTGCTAGACCAGCACAACCCAACTCAGCCACCCTTAGACTGAACCACCCAACCCAACCAGCT